GATCTACCACTTGCAATGAAAGGAAGTAAATTGCCAGTGTGCTGGGAAGTGTGTACATTCATAATGTCTTAGGTGGACATTTTCTGGTTTAAGACTCAGTTTTCAGCAAACAGCAGCTCCCATTTGTTTTCTTTATACTGTTCTGGGTAAGGGATGGAGAAAGGTTGGTTTTCCAGGGGACAAGCAGCTTAATTTGAGGTCACAGGGCCAAAAATAGATAAAGAAACCAATCCCTCCAGGCTTTCAGAAAGTGGTTAGGCTGTAGGAGTATATTCTTTTGTACAACTTGGATGCTTTGCAGACAAAAATATAATAGAACAGGAAGGAGATACAGGGAATTCTGCTAATTAATAGCAATTTGATACCTTTATGACCAGATGTAAGATTATGGGATGTAATCACAGATTTATTTTTTTATTGTTGCTCCTCGGGTCTAGTATTAGGGTTTGTTTTGGCCTTAATTGAAAGGAAGAGTATAAATGCACCTAGGTGCTTCTCTTTCAAAGGTTTGATCAAACTGCTGCTACTGTCATGAGAGCTAGATTAGTCCCAGAAGAATAACCCAATGTGTAATTGTGTGTTGCTTACCTCATTACAAAAATCTAAGCCATGGAATAATTTTCAGCACTCCTACATAGTCTCACATCCAGCTCCCCTGGAAATACAGCTCTGTGCTGAAAATTTCATAATAGACCAATCAGTACAACTAGCTAATTGTGATAATTGGATTTTTTTATATAATTGTCTTCTCTGTTAGATGTTTTTCCTTCTGGCTCAGCTCCTTATGCCAAGTCTCTCAAAAGTAGTTTGCTAAATTAGAATTAACCTGCTATGATCTTTCTTCTGATTTCTGCTAAGGAGGAGTGAAAAACTCATTTAGAAATTCCTGGCTTCTTTCTATTGATCTCTAAGGGTTAGGTTATCATTCATTTCTTGAGTAGTAGCAGTCTGTGTGCCATCAACAGAAGGTGGTTTATTTAACTTCTGTTTAGATCTTTTTCAAGGCATCTAGTGGCTATACTGGTAGGTAATAAGAAATTATTTTTACAGTTGCCCAACAGTTCTGTGTTGTTTTGGGGAGCTCATAGGCACAGGTTCCATTTATTTTCATTTGCTCAAACAGACACTTTTTATTTGAATGCCTAATGTTTTCTGCCATAATCAATTACTGCTGCCAGAATTAATGTTGGCTTTGTACTGACGACCCTCTGCCTTTTGTCTTACAACTCAGTTTAATTGTAGGTGTGTTCACAACACAGAGCTCTTTCAATTAGCCCCTGCAATTCCTCTGAGGTTTTGTGTCACTCGTGCCCTTTCTCAATTAACCCTGTTCTGTGATTACCCCTTTGGCAGGCAGAGCTGCTTTGAGGTGTAGATATGGAAAACCCACCTGCAATAGCTGTACAGCCAGAGCCTGGAACACCACAGGGCAGTACATTGGGTACCCTTCCAGCTTCTGGAAATTAGTCTAGCAGTGTGAGGTGGCCTATTTGGTAGGGTCTGCAAATGAGCTATGGAGCCAAGCTGTTACACCAGCAAAGCAAAATGTTCTGAGAAAGGAAGCAATAGACATTTATCTGCACTGGGTTTACCCTGTACTGGGTGGAAAGAAAAAAGAGGTGATGTGGGTAAAAGGAGTTCAATTCACCCATCATCTTATTAAAAAAACTTATTTTAAATCTCAGTTCCTAAATCTGGTTACTTGTGTCCGGCTAAATCACATCACTTGCTTATATCAAGTTTGTCTGGAAATTTGTCATAAGGATCATAAATGTAGAAGTGAGAGAGAAAAAGGAATGCTACTAAAAACAGAGGCATTGTTTTATAACGTAGCCCAGGTTTTCCTTTGTGTTACCTTTTTAGGCATGGAGATGGACAAAAATCCATTATTTTTTTAGGGAATTAGGAACAGTAGGCATGTTGACAGTTCTGGTCCATTTTGGGTGTGGTGCCAGGTTGTAGCTACTTTTAACAGATGCAGTAATAGGTCCCTGCATCCTCCCTCCTGCTGCATGCATTTGGCTTTCACCTACCTATAAAATTTGTGGCAGTGTGATGCTGTGCTGGGGCAGAGTTGTGCCAGATGCAGGACATGCAGGTCACCTCTGTGTCCTGCCTTGCCTCAGGCAGCTTCATATCAAATGCCAGCATCTTGTAGACTTGTTGATGTGCAAGCCCACAAGCTCAGCCTCAAGCACCAGAGCACAAAAGGAAGAGGCTACAGGATAATTTCAGTTGCAATAAAAGACTCTTAAAGCTTTTTTTTTTTTTTAGATAAATATGCTCTGTCTTCCTTTGCCAGCATACACAGAGTGACCACATTGAGCTGATAGAACTCAAACACATCCTTGGAAAAGCTGTTCACTACATTTTATGAGGCTGTTTTGTACTCTCAGCTGTGCTTAGGTAAAGCTGAAACCAAATCCACAGGTTTTAGTTGAGAGACTCCTGATTTACAACACTTAGTGGGAAAAGAGCATAGTTTTGGGTAGGAGCAATTCTTACTCAGGTGAGGCATGAAGAGAAAATGTCACTCCCTGGTTCTCATGTAGGAGATGAGCTTCAAGCAACAGGTGTTATAACAGCTGATTTCAGGTGATTGGGTAACTTACACAGTGCAAGATTTGACCAAGGAAATGAGAGCTCAGAAATGGCCTTTTACTGCTCTATGTTTTGTCATTAAAAGCCTGAACACTTAAAATTTAGCTGTAGCTGATTCAGGATATCCAACATCTGCTCTTTGTCTTCTGAAGGCATTTGGGACCTTGAAGGAATGAGATGAAATAGTTGTGTGGAAATTGTGCTGTGAAGTTGCTTTCTGCATTGAAACCTAATAACAAAAATCCTTGTGGGATCATACCAGTGTGATTAAGACATAAAGGATGGCCAAGCAGAATGACTGGAAGATACAAAGACACAAAATTCAATGTCCTCCATGTTCTGTAATTTTCTGTGCAATATAGTGAAGGTGTCATCATTGTTATTGCCCCTTTGTTCTTTGCAGGCTGGAAAAAGACAGTTGGTAAGCTGGGATTTGGACACAACATGGGTGGATTTTGTCCAGTTTTACATCCAGATAGGAGGAGACACTTCTTCATGCAATAAACCCGACAGCAGAGAAGAAGGTGTGCTGCTGCAGTACAGCAATAACGGTGGCATCAACTGGCAGCTACTAGCAGAAATGTATTTCTCTGACTTCAGCAAACCCAGGTATAATTTTGGTCTAAATTAAATCCACACTGCATCAGCTCTTTTAAAAAAATATTTCCCCGTTTAAGAAAACAGGAATCATAATTTCAAGTTATAATGCTTTAAAAGCCATCATTGTATGGAAACTTTTTCAGGCTGCCACAGTAAACTCCTGTCACTAGGAATGAAACATTTAATGGAGGTGAGCCTTAAAAACTGAAGTAAAATATAAAGTTTCCATCACTTACCTCTTGAAGTGAAGCATGACTAAAATGCCAATAACTGCAAAATATAGGAAGCAAGTACAGAGCTTGCCCAAAAGAGGTGTAGAATTCTGCCATTTCCTCTTACTCTGGTTTCAGATCTAACACACGTATTAATGTCACATACAACAAAGCTCCTTTAAATAAGTATTTAAGGAGGAGAAGAAATCATGTTCAGCAGTTCAGATTTGCTGTAAGATTCCTTGTCAGTGAAGATTAAAATTGCGTTTGTCTGTGTAGGTATTAACATGATTTTTATTTCCTGTAGTCCATATCTTTCAACATGCAAATAATTTTATCTTCCCATCTTGTCATTTTGTATTGCATTGAGCAATGCTTTTGGAAGGACTGCACTAGATTGGCAGACTATCCTTTTCTAAAGGTGCTCTAGGCATTTGGAAGTATAAAACTCTTGACTTTTGTTTAGAATATGACAGAAGAGAATCGAATAGACTATTTCAGTTGGAAGGGACCTACAGTGATCTCCCAGTCCAACTGTCTGACCACTTCAGGGCTGACCAAAAGATAAAGCATTTTCCAAATATCTCTTAAACACTGACAGACTCTGGGTCATTGACCACTTCTCTAGGAAGCCTGATCCAGGGTGTCAAAAAAACCACTCAAAACATTCTCAGAAAATAAATTCTTTCTCATGTCCAGTCTAAACCTCCATGGCACAGCTTCAAACCTTTCCCACGAGTCCTGTCACTGCATACCAGGGAGAAGGGCTCAGCTTCTCTCTCTCCATGTCCCCTCCTCAGGAAGCTGTAGAGAGGAATGAAGTCACCCCTCAGCCTCCTTTTCTTCAAACTAGACAATCCCATATCCTTAGCCATCTCCCATAAGAAAGTCCTTCAGCTGTTTCACCAGCTTTGTTGCCTTCCTCTGGATGCATTCAAGGACCTTCACATCCTCAAATCTTGGGGCCCAGAACTGCACACAGCACTCAAGATGAGGCCACACCTACCCTGAATACAGTGGGACAATCACCTCTTTTGCCCAGCTGGTGATGCTGTGTTTGATGACACTGACAGGGGTCATTGACCACTTCTCTAGGAAGCCTGATCCAGGGTGTCAAAAAAACCACTCAAAACATTCTCAGAAAATAAATTCTTTCTCATGTCCAGTCTAAACCTCCATGGCACAGCTTCAAACCTTTCCCACGAGTCCTGTCACTGCATACCAGGGAGAAGGGCTCAGCTTCTCTCTCTCCATGTCCCCTCCTCAGGAAGCTGTAGAGAGGAATGAAGTCACCCCTCAGCCTATCCAGGGTGTCAAAAAAACCACTCAAAACATTCTCAGAAAATAAATTCTTTCTCATGTCCAGTCTAAACCTCCATGGCACAGCTTCAAACCTTTCCCACGAGTCCTGTCACTGCATACCAGGGAGAAGGGCTCAGCTTCTCTCTCTCCATGTCCCCTCCTCAGGAAGCTGTAGAGAGGAATGAAGTCACCCCTCAGCCTCCTTTTCTTCAAACTAGACAATCCCATATCCTTAGCCATCTCCCATAAGAAAGTCCTTCAGCTGTTTCACCAGCTTTGTTGCCTTCCTCTGGATGCATTCAAGGACCTTCACATCCTCAAATCTTGGGGCCCAGAACTGCACACAGCACTCAAGATGAGGCCACACCTACCCTGAATACAGTGGGACAATCACCTCTTTTGCCCAGCTGGTGATGCTGTGTTTGATGCACCCCAGGATGGGGTTTGCCCTGTGTTTTTGTCTCAAAAAACCTTTGGCCCTCTGAGCAATCAAGAGTGATGGTCCTTCGTGAGCATAAATATGCAGATTTATTTTTCTGTTGTTTCAAACGTGGTCCAGATTTTATTTTCCAGTTCCTTATTCTCTAACATATGAATCTAGGAATCCTCTGGAAAAGAACAATTCCTTCTTTCTGCAAGTGAAGCAGCATCCATGGGGCAAAATAACATGTGATATAAAGAAAGTGCTGAAAGGGTTATATGTATAAATGTATATATGCAATGTGTCTGAAATAGGACTGAGCAAGTAACTATTTCTTGTACTTTTTGAAATATGATTAGATTGGAAACTTTATTTGATGTAATTTTTATAAGGTGTTTCCTAAGTTGAACATAAAGCAAACTGAGAAGGCCTGAAGTTCTACAAAGATAGAAGGTCTGAAATATTTTTACCCACAGAAGAAAATTCTGCTACATAATCTATTGCATTGTAACACAAGGATGCTTTTGTGTACAAATAGGACCAATCAGCAGAAGAGAATGTGGAATTAATTTTGCCAGCATATTTTACTATTACTTCCTGGCACCAGAAGAACATTAAGACTTGCTGAACATGGATCAGCTGAACAGTTCAATTCAAAGCTGGAGAGTTCAAATCAGTTCTTTATTGTGTTTAGCAATATAGTAATAAAGTGTGAAAAAATAGACATTGTCTTAAAGAGTTTACATTCTCTACAGACAAGGACAAAGAAGATTTCTTGATATGCAGTATATAGATAGTTATCTGGATATAGAGAAGATTAGAATCATAGAATCATTAAGGTTGGAAAGGACCTCCAGGATCATTGAATCCAACCTTTGACTGAACATCGTGTCAACTAAGCCATAGCACTAAGTGGCATGTCCAGTTGTTTACTGAACACTTTCAGGGATGGTGACTCTACCACCACCCCCCTGGACAGCCTGTTCCAATGCTTAACCACCCTTTCCGTGAAGAAATGCTTCCTGTTGTCCAACCTGAACCTCCCCTGGCACAGTTTGAGGCTATGTCCTCCTGTCACTGCCTGGGAGAAGAGGCCAACCCCCATCTTGCTACAACCACCTTTCAGGTTACTGTGGAGAGTAATAAGGTCTCCCCTGAGCCTCCTCTTCTCCAGGCTAAACACCCCCAACTCCCTCAGCTGGACCTCATAAGTCTTACTCTCTTAGACTCTTCACCAGCTTCGCTGCCCTCCTCTGGATGCGCAAATTACAGAGGACTTGTACCCGTAAGATAGATGCCAGCTTTTCTGCCTTCTTTCCCTGTTGAGTGGTACATTTCTCTACAAACTGTGTTCTGTAAAGTTCTGCTCAATTTCTGTTCTCCAGGTTTGTCTATCTGGAGCTGCCAGCTGCTGCCAAGACACCTTGCACCCGGTTCCGCTGGTGGCAGCCTGTGTTCTCAGGGGAGGAGTATGACCAGTGGGCCATCGATGACATTATCATTTTATCAGAGAAGCAGAAGCACATCATTCCTGTTGTTAATCCCACTTTACCACAGGTAACGAGCAAGAGCAGGCTGTGGGCATGCCCATGAAACAGAAACCATCCTCTCTGTTAGGAGGCTTTAGTTTGAGCATGATTTGCTTTGAAAACATTTGGAGAGAAAGCTGTAGTATTTGCAGTTGTTTCTCTGTGTGGGGATAACCTGGGTCTTATCACAAAATCATCAGGTTCCTAATCTTTGTGACAGAGGATGTAGTGATGTACGAAAAGTCAAGACTGAAGATCTGGAAATTTCAACTATACAAAAAGACAAGACTGAAGATCTGGAAATTTCAACTTCTTTGAAATGACAATGAAAGTCCAAAAAGTCCAAAAAAGTTTGAAAGTACAAATTGCAAAATTTGAGAGTTGATCATTGGGGGAATTATTCTGAAGTCACACTGCAAGATGATAGTATCTTTGCCTTTCCTTTTCATTTCTAACAGAACTTTTATGAGAAACCAGCATTTGATTACCCTATGAACCAGATGAGTGTATGGTTAATGCTGGCCAATGAAGGGATGACCAAAAATGAAAGCTTCTGCTCTGCCACCCCCTCTGCCATGCTCTTTGGGAAATCTGATGGAGACCGTTTTGCAGTGACTCGAGACCTAACTCTGAAGCCTGGATATGTCCTCCAGTTCAAGGTATTCCTTAAACATAAATCCCTGCAAGAATGTCAGTAAAACTGTCATTAGTCAACACTTGCAAGTTGCCACTGGGGCCACAGGTCGAACCAAGGTGGTAAGTTATACCACTGCATAAAAATATGCAAAGAGCACAAGTATGAATTCATGCAGCATAAAATGCCATCCTGCTTTCTAGAGGGATAGCCAAAACCTTGGTTCAGGAGAGCGTTTTTACCCCTCTGAAGAAGTTGTAAAGCTTTTTGTTCTACACATTTCAGAAGTGGGTTGAAGTGACTGTCATTATACTCAAGTCACTGCTAGGAAATGCTACTGCACTGTCAAGCAAAAAAGGATTTATCCTGTCTGGGGCTCTGTGGCCACAAAAGCTCCAGTGTGGTTTGCGTACATTTTTTGTATTTGAAACTATTTAGGGCCTTACAAGCTGCTCTGTACTCCAGTGTGGGTTTTTCATATAATTTCCTTTTATTGTGTCAATGAATATAAGCTCCAATTAGCATTTTCTTTTTTAAAGGGCTTACAAAAATTTCAGTGGTCTGACAATACATCAGAATATGGGCTCCAAAGAAAGTGTATTTGCTTTGACTAGCTCTTGTTTCTGAACCCTAATCAAAATTTTATTGAGTTTATAATGAAATCCCATTGGTGAATTCTGGAGGTTGGTTGCAATGCAATTTTAATGAGCTCACCACAAATACATGGTCCTTACATAATTGGTGGATACAGAAACTGAATAATTTACAAGTGAATTATTAAAGAGATCAGATGTTTACAGGCAGCTTTTCAAATATAATTCCCACAATTCTATAAATAGGAAAGTTAGTTAGAAATAATGAGATTTGTAAAATAATCTCATTTCATCTAAAAGTTATGCTAATGAAATGCTATACAAACTGAGGGATTTCAATACAATTTCTGAGTGAGTTTTGCTTGTGGTTTTATACTTTGAACTCTCTGAAACCCCAAAATATCTTAATATATAGATACCATTTAGCCTGGGAAAGACGCTATTCATTCTTCACCACTTGCCTCTACTTCAGTGACTAGTTAATTCTCCATTCTGTTGGTTTGATGTCCAACAGCATTTTAAAAACCGTTTAGTCTAAAAAAAGCAATACCTGCAAATGTTTCATGCACCTTCCATCACTGAAGCACTTGGCAATGTAACATAAACATACCAAACATAAACAGCATGTGTCACAGGACAGTGAGTTCTTCTTTATAAAGTCTATTATTTGAGGCCTGAATTTAGACTTATCTGGAAAGCTTTTAAAGGAGCCTGCACAGAAATGTGTTAGTCCTGTTTGCATGCTTTAATTTTAAGCATACAGTTAAATGCTCTCGTGAGTTAGTGGAATTTCCATTTTAAATAGCAGCCAGAAATAATTTTGCATCGATAAACTCAAAGACAGCAATTTGTCAAAATGATTTCATTTTACATGAAAAAAATTGTTTTCCGTTTTGCAGTCTACAGCTCAAGTATTTTTTCTGATGGCTTGAAAAATGAGACCAAAAACTTCAAATCAGCAGATGATTTTTATCTTGATAACATTCTCATTTCACATATTAATATGCATTTTTCTACTTAATCCAATTTTACTCTATTCTAGTGGCCCAAACTGCTGTGCCAACTCCCAGACATCATTCCTGTAAGGACAATGGCAAGGCTGTGGTCCTTTGGGCTGATCCTCTGGGCACACTCGGTGTAGTGCAGGTGGGATGGATCTCAGAGGATACAGCTCTTCCCATCCCTGGGCATGTAGGTGCCTGTGAGGAGTTTGCTGTTTGGGGCCCTTTGAAAAGCTGTTTGTGCCTTTTGAGTGCTAAACTCAGCAACCTCAATGAAGGGATAGTGGGAATTTTTACTGAGAAACGTGATACACACGTAGGAAACAGATCCCAAGCATCACTGTTTGCCTGTAGGGTTCAAAGCAAATATTCAGAGCATTAAACCTCCCAAACTAAAAAGTCAAAGATGGTTTTCAGCCAATAAATACTAATAACAGTGCAGATGTCTTCAGCTCATATCTGACACTCTTTTTTTTTTTGCAGTTGAACATTGGTTGCACCAACCAGTACAGCAGCTCTGCTCCCGTTCTGCTGCAGTACTCCCATGATGCTGGGCTCTTCTGGTCACTCGTGAAGGAGGGCTGCTACCCTGCCTCTCCAGGCACCAAAGGCTGTGAGGGAAGCTCCAGGGAGCTGAGTGAGCCCACTGTGTATCACACAGGAGACTTTGAGGACTGGACTAGAATCACTATTGTCATCCCCAGGTCACTTGCAGCCAGGTACTGTGCATTGCAAAGCAGTGATGCCAGTGGGACCCATGAATTAGCTGCTGCTGCTGTGATGCTATGCTGGGAAAAAAAGGTTGCAAAGCTGTGAATAAAGGCAGTGTTAAAAAATGGTAGGTCTGGGGAAAATATATGGTTCTCACCAAAATAGGGAGAAGTTTTCCATTTTGAAGGTGTCAGGTTGGTCTGCAAAATTAAATTACAAAGCAACAAGGAACCTAGAACCTTCTAATTTGATATCAGTCTCTTAATCCTCTGTCTTTATGTATATCAGTTAAGTCAGAGCCATCAGCAAGAGAGTGATAAGTCACATGAATCATATAAACCATTTGAACAGGATTAAATTTAGTTACCACTGGGCAAAGACCCCCTAGAGAGATATTTGAGCTGGTGTGTGATGTGCTGTGTCACTGAAGGTGGCCAGGTCAGCCAAAGGCAAAGGAGGGAGCATAGAATGATAGGTGTGCTCATCTGCAAGGTCAAACTCACCATCTGGTTAATACAGGTGGGAAAACAGCAGATGGTAGATGACACAAATAAACCTTGAAATCAAGTGGCTTTTCTCAGTCTTACTTGAGTTTGGCTGAAGTTTCTCACTCCCCTTACTCTCTATCTTACCCCATTGGTAAAACCCCCCAGTTTGATTTGCTGGCTGCACCAGGCAGGTGTCCTCACCAGGCCCCTGGCCCCTCTGACTCCTGCCTCTCTTGCTGATCTAGTGCTGCCCCTGGGTTTCAGCCCCATCCTCCTGCCATGGGCTTCTCACCCTCAAGCCCCAGCACAGATTTTGAGTCTGTGGTGTATTTTGTAGCAGGGGAGTTGGTGCCTTTGCCGCAAGGACTTGAAATAGCAGCATGTACCATAACAAGTTTGTCTTTTCTTCAGTAATTAGCCAATAAAAGCAGGTGCCAAATTGCACAGATCTGACACCAGCTGATTTGATTTACCCAAAACAAGCAGTGCAGAATCAATAGCTGCAATCTGTTTGGCATTATGTTCAGTAATGTGATCACGACTAAGAAGCGCGTGCTAATACGTTAAAAATGGAAGGATTGTGACTGTGATGAGGGTCTTGGCATGTTGCAAACTGAATTTGTTGTGGGTCACTTTGGAAATCATGGTTCATGGGTTAACTGGAGAGCATCCCATTTCATCAGCTGGTACAGAGCACAAGCACAATGATCCCCTACCTACCAAACCCCAGTGCACAGCAGAAAAAAGAAAGCAATAGGTTTATTATATTTTAGGCACCATAGCAAGGAGGATCTTAATTAATCCACTAGATTGGCAATGAGATTTTAAATCTGTTTCCCTATAAAATGATTCAGCTAAAAGTTACAGACTGAAAATTAATAACCAAAATATTTGTTCTTCAACAAATTTCCTGTGTAGTGGGTCAGCTAGGAGTGACTTAGTGTTAGCTCATTGATGTCTCTGAAGCAGTTTCAGTTATACAAGTTAAGGATTAGATCACTGTTTTCCAGGAATTTCACGTTGTCATCCCAGAATAAAAACTTAGTATTTCTGTCCACTTGTCCTGTAGGACGTATTGTTTGCCATTATTTTTAGGAAGTGGCTTTCTTTTCTTGTATCCAAATTGCTTAAAAGTTTTCTATTGAAAATTATACAATTCATAACAAACTCTGCATCACTGCCATTACTGAGCTCCTTTCCTAAGTACTGTAAGAAATGGAGTTCTGGGATTTTAATATGGAATTAGCAGTTCAGGTTGAACTGAGTAGTAAAAGGCACTTCAGAGTCATATCTAATCATTCACTCTTGCTGATAAAACCTTGTATTTGTTCTTTGCATCACACTGGTGGATACATGCCAGAGAAACAGAAATGCATCCAAAAAATCTGGAAAGAATATCCTTAAGCAAAGTTGCACAAAACAGAGGATGCCAGAAATATTTTCCAGGCATCCTATTTGCCAATGGCTTATTTAGGAAAAGGTCCTTTTGATCTTAAACAAGGAGCAGTAGATCCTGAAGATGGCAATAGTAATACTGTGCCCGTT